GACCCAGAAACTGTACTTTGCATTATTTCTTGCACATTCATGCCCGGCTGCAAGGAAGGCTGGCAACTGTAATCTCGACCTGAATGTACGTAGACCCTCTGAGCAGACTGCGTTGTGACTGCTCCCCATAATAAAAATGAGGCCTTTCCTCGAGAGAGCTGACTCAACACAGTAAAAGGAGGAAAGAGATTCCATTATTAATTTCACTTTTCAGGTATTGATAGTCATACATTTTTTGGTTTTTCTTCCCAGTTCTTTTTGCATATATGTGCTATTTTCCTAATATGCAGTGTTCTTATACCATTGCTGTCTCATTACCTTTTTCTTGTGCAGTTAACTGACTTTAGGCACACCTCATTTTAATGGCTGATTAACACATGGATGTGCTGTTGTTAAATGAGTACATATTATCCATAATGGAACATTTACCTCTTGCTAGATTTTTACTGTTATGAATAAGTTGTTATGTGAATTCATATTTTCTGTGTCTCCTAAGTTATATTCTTAGAAAAAGAATTATTGCTACATTGGTTTTCAGAAAGTTATGCTGATTTTTACTCCCACCAGCAGTATAAGAGATGGCCTATTTAGAATTATTGAAAAAAGTGTCTTTAACTTTTTAGGTATTTTTTTTATCTCAGAATTCATTGTTTTTACTTTCACTGGAGATGGAAAAAAAATGTCTTCCTCTGCACCATTTAAAAGCAGACATGACAGGGCCGGCCGAGTGGCTCCGTTGGTTAAGAGCTCGCTCAAGAGTGTGAGCTCTGAGCAACAGTGGTTCGAGTCCAGCCCGAGCTGAGCAGCTGCTGAGCTGCCAACAGGTGGCAGGATGGCTCAGCTAAAAAAAACAAAAAAACAGACATGACAAATGCCTTTCTGGCTAGAAAATATTTTTAGAATCACTTGATTTGATGGCTAAGTTTGTAATTTGTTGGTCTGTTTATTATCCACAAACAGTTCCTTGAATAGTTTCTATAGGTTATTTGCCCCTTTTCCTTTACTGGATTATTATTGTTTTACTTTGACGCTGCCATGTATGAGTTATTTATAATAACTGTACCCACCCTTACCCGTCGTGTTTGTCACATCTTTTTAATGTTAGTTTGCTGTGTTTTCACACACTTATTGGGAGTTTGTGGTTTTGCGTTGTGAAGTATATCAAACGTTCCCTTCATAGTTTCTTCTGCTGCTGTCATGCTCAAGGCTTTCCGTGTACTCAGATCTACGTTTTTAGGATATTAGTGTCTCCTGCGCTGTCTTACCTGTTCCGGTGACCTGCTGCGTGACGCCTTAGCATACCGACTCATTTTCATCCTTTGAGCCGTATGAGTAATATTACTATTTCCTGGAGTCTTCTCTCATTACTCTTCTGGTTCCGTGTTTTTCTACCTCTCACTAAATAATTTTAAAGATACACTTTATAGTGATTTTTAATTTTTCTCATTGGGAGTGATAAAATGTTAATTGGCATTATAGTATAGCCTTATGATTTATATTGTATTTTTATATAATTATTATAATGCAATTAAAAATTATAAATCTTTATTATATATATTATATATAAAAATAATATGTTATAATATATTACAAACTAAATTCCAATTCCAATGCTATTTATTATATTTGATATCATACTATATTAAAATATAACTTGTTTTTATATTTTATATATATTGTAAATATATAGTTCATTTACCTGTCATATTTTATCTTTATGCTTATATTATTATATTTTATGCTTATGTTTACATATAATATTATTTTATTTAACAATAATTTTTTATATTATAATTTTCACATTATAATTTGCCATTTTTAAAATATCCATTCTCTTCCTTTTTTTGATACACCTTTCTATTGATTTAAGATTTTATTTAAGCCCGTTAGTAAATCATGTTTCTTTTCATAAAACTTTCACATTTTTTGTGAAGGTCATTCTTATGTATTTTGCATTTTTGTACTACCGTTCCTCAAAGGTTCTTTCCTGTATATTCTGTAACTGCTGTTCATGGTGTATGCTAGTAATGTTTTTGTTAATTGTGCAATTGGCTACCTAAATAGAATCTTACCATTTGAAAGTGCTTTTCTGGGTTTCCTGGGGTTTCTACATATTCAGCTCGTTTGTAGTACTAGTGTTTTACGCTTGTTAACTCTGCTCGCTCACGCGCCCCTTCTCTTTCTCCCCCAGCATGGAGGAGTGTGAGGCTCTGTGCACGAGACTTGCCATCATGGTCAACGGAAGCTTCCGGTGCCTTGGGTCCCCCCAGCACATTAAGAACAGGTGTGTTGCATTTCACTTTGCACGTAAGTGTCTCCTGTAAATCAGTAGCGTGAGGCTGTGTCGCAGTGGCGGGGCTGTCGAGGCAGAGATGGCTGAGTTACCGCGTGGGGTAGGGAAGCAGATGGCGGCCGAGAAGCTCAGGGGCACGGGAACTCCCGGAGCTGGTGAGCCCCGACTGCAGCCCCCACAGCCCAGCGTCTCCCCGCAGTTTTACTGTCTTCTCCCAAGAGGGCGGCGCTCCCACTGTGGGGACCCTGGGAGGGCTGCAGCGTCAAGATGGAGACAGGCAGAAGGTGTCCTGTCGAGACAAACTGCCTTCTAAAAGGGTTGTGCCCGTGTGTCCCTCACCCGGAGTGGGTCTGGGCACCTGTGTCCCCGCACCTCGAAGGCGTCTCCACTGATTCGAGAAGCTAAAGAAGGCCGTTGTGGCTGCTTTTCGTGTCGAAGGAGGAGACTAAACACTCGACCTGTGCTCGTCAGGGCTCAGGTTTCTTCCTGTTCACTGTCTGTTTTCCATTTACTTACTGGAATCATAACGAGTTATCAATTTCGATGAACACTTTTGTGTCCCAACACAACTTTTTAAAAATTCATTGTTACCGAAAGTATTTTCAAAGTTTCTAAATGAATTTGATCTCTAATTTCCTTTTAATTTGTTGTTTAATCTGTTTTTATAGAGATTATTTTAAGTTGATAAATCTTTTTGTTTTCCTTTATTCAATATTTTGAAAGTTAGAATTCACAGACAGAGATTTGTTAAATAGTCCTGGGTATTAGGTTGAAATATTCTTAGTTTTTGGAGAAAATAACTGTTGAGTGCTTGGATGGAGACGCCATGCTGGGGAGTGACCGTCAGCTCCCCAGGGGCTCAGAGCCAGCACCACTGGGACTGTCTGCCTCACAGACGCTTGTTAGGTGAACTCACTGGAGATGGTTCTCAGTAAGCACTCTGCTCGTGTTTAATGAGGGTCATCAAAGGGAAAAGGAGATTTCACACCCCCTCGCCTGTAGGAATGCTCACATAAAGTTTTACGGCCCGTGCCCGGTCGTTGGGTGATTGATGCCTGAGTTTAGCTACTTGGCTTTCGCGAGGCTGCATCTGTGTCTGGCGGAGCTGGCAGGACGGACGGGGCGCACAGGAGACGCACCTCTGACTGGCACAGTCTGTGTGCCCAGTCGCGCCACACTCCTCTGAGTTTGGAACTGCTCGTGCCGTGGTGAGGACAGATGCTGGTAAATAAATATGATCTACAGAATTGCATTAGGAAAAAGTAGCTTGTGGGTTATTTACTCACTGAAACACTGAACCGAATATATTTTTAGATAATTTGTGAAGTTGGTATTTTCCTATAACAAACTGATTAGGTGTTTCCACACTGTTGTGATAAAGAATAAAGGATTCTTCATGAAACGCAATCCGGGATGTCCAAACCCGGAGTCATCCACATCGGTGTCCATTCTCCTCCCTGTGACCCAGCGATGCTGACCTGGAGAGAGAAGTGGCAGTGGGCCCTCCTCGCCATCTCCAGGCCCTTCATGCCGTCACCACTCCCAGCAGCCTTGTCCCCGGGCATGAGAGCACCAGGGGACTCTGTCATCCTTGTCATCTTGTCATCCCTGACTCAGCCAGCGATCCTGTCACAAGAGCAGAGGTTCATTTCTCCCAGGGGCCTGGCGACATCTCCCTGGAATATGACCTAGAGTGCTGATGCCAGAGGTTTGAGTTGTGCCCATGTTGTGGAGGGTGCCAAGTGCTGTGTGCCCAGGTGCCTGGGATCCCGCGAGCCTGTCCGGCAGCCCGCCTGTGTCAGTCTCCCCAGCTGTAGGACGGGTCCTCGTGAGGGCGAAAGGAGTGTGACACACTTAGAAGGGGCCTCGCTCGGCCGTGGTTTGGTGTTTGCTGCCACTGTCTTGCCTGCTGTGGAGTGGAAATGACTTGTGACCATGGGTCAGCCCGGCGCTGTGCAGAAGTTCCTGTGGACAATGAAAGCCAGAAGCAAGCCCATGGAGTTAGTGTTTTAATCGGCAAGTCTGACCGGTACGATGCTGAGACGTCAGCCAAGGTAGCGGCCTGGGCGTGTGGAATGGGTTTGTAGAAAGGAACACACATGTTTCCAGCCCCTTCCTCCCTTCTGACTTGGATGCAGATACAATGGTTAGAGATGAGGCAGCCGTCTCGGACCACGAGGCACACAGCAGCGGAGGCTTGTGAGCAGGACGCTGAGAGAAAGAGCCAAAGGAATGATGCCTGTTTCGCTCTGGGCTGCCTGACCTCAGACTTCAAACTTGCTAACGTCCCTGTGACTCTGGGTTCTCTGTCACTCATACGTGAATCTGAACAGACTTATCCCTAACATTTGGGACAGTGCTGGGTATTCATGGACAAATGAATGAAGGAATGAGTAACAGATGTAAAGTTCCAGCACATTCCAGGCCTTTGCTCAATAACAGTTCTTTCCTGGCCTCTACAACTGGATGTGAAAGGAGGAATCAGGTGTGCCTGGCCGCGTTAGGCTCTGTCTGGCTTAATGAACGGCTAATAACAGCCGCTGACCCCTTTGAGAAAGGCTTCTACCCAGATCTCATTTATCCCTAGTCAGGGTGAAGCCCACTTTCTCTCAAGCATCTGCATCATTCACCCTTCGCTTGCTGCTTCTAGAAACAGGCTGTCTGCACTCAGCAGCCCCGTTAGCAGGAACGACCAGGTGTGTGGTTCAGGCTTGAGTCTGCCACAGCCTTGGCAGTGTCCCTGTCACCTTCTCTGCTAGACAGCCAGGAGCCAGGAGCGAGTGTGCAATGCAGACAGCAGACGCGTGTCATTCGAAAACTCACTGCATTATGGGGTTATGAATTCTGACCGTAAACACAGGCACAGGAGGACACAGCCAAGCTTAAAGGCACAGAATTCTGTTAAATCAGAACTGTACTTCAGGTTTAAAATGATTTAAAGATTGGGATTTGGGAGAAGGTTTATGTACTCTGGGTTCCGTTAGCTTCAAGTGTGTGTGTGTGTGTGTGTGTGCGCGCGCGCGCATTTATGTGTGTGCACTCAGAGAAAATCTGAACCCTCCACATGTTTCACAGTTTAGAATCATTTTACAAATTTGATTTTTGGTTCCATTTTATCAAAAGCATGAGAAANGCTAGCGGCTGCGTGCTGGTCAAGCCACAACGCCACAGGCCACCACCCCTCTTACCCTGAGGTCAGCAGCTGTCAACTGTCAGTATTTCTCAGGCTGTTGCAGGCCTCAGGTCCATATCCAGAGTTCTGAAATGGCTGTTTTTGTTCGTTTCGTTCAGTTTTATAGTTGTTTTGAGGAAGGGATTTGCCATTTTCTTCTCTTGACCGGAGCCAGAGCGCTGCCCTTGATTTTCTATTATTTTGTTTTTGTTCTGTTTCTTTCAGAAAACAAAATTTTACATCAAAATGAATTGAATTTGACAAATCCTCTATTTTCTCATAATGCACATACACTCTTGCTTAAAATTATCCTATTTGCGGTGCCATTCCTGAAAACTCTACACTTTCATATGTATTATGCTAGCGTTTAAGTCCTCGTGTTCAGGTGTAGTTTCTAAGATTGGATAAACTGGTGTCACATTAAAACCTCCTGTAATTCTCATGTTATGTGTAATCACTGCAGACAGTTCTCAGAAAGCCCACATATCACTGCAATTTCTCTCTTATGTCCTCCTGTTCATTTGGTTTCACATTAATGACGTGTCTTCATTTCCATAAATCTGTCCATATTCAGGCAGCACAAAGCTCTGAATGGCTCATTATTCATGAAGAGAAGGGCAGCCTGATTGATTCCGTGATTCTAAAACAGCAGCTATATATTCTCATTTTATAATATATGTATAATACTTCTGTACCAGTTCCTTTTTTCTTTTTCTCTCTTTTTAAAGCACTGATCTTGCAAAGGTGTATTTTTCTCTGCTTTTATGTGGACAAGTAGAAAGGGAAGAGAATTTGGCAGCTAAAAAAATAAATTGCGCTGAGAGACGGTCTGTAAGAAAAAGGTAAATAAAACAGCAGCCTTCAGCAGAGAAGCCTCTGAAGTTCACAGCTTCCCCTTGACTTTGAGTTCACTGCCCCTGCCCTAGAAAACCCTGGGGAAAGTGAGGGTAAGAAAACCGCACCCGCTTTCTTCACTAAGAGAAATGGGAAGTAGTCCAGCCAGGAATGACCGGGGCTGCTGCTTCCTCGCCCATCAAACACGGATCGTGAACTCCAGCATAAGTCCTTGCATCTCTGTGTTGCCTGATCACACACCGTTCCAGTCGGCAAAACACCCAGAGGAAAAGTAGTTCATTTTCTGAGTGAACGGTCAGAGGTCACTTCCATTATGGCAAAACCCCTGGCTTTGTATAGTCTTGATGCTAAAGATCATCAGAATCTCACAGTCTGCCCTTCAGACAGAATTTGTGGTGTCCCACGTGTTTGGAGCATGTATATTTGATAACCATACAACCAGGAGCACCAGGCCTTATTCAATATCCATTGTTATTTGGATCTCCACTCGCCTGAACTGTTTATGGATGCAACATAGAACCGACTTCATATTCTACCTTTTTAATTAGAGGACCTACTATGCACTCACGAGCATGATGAAAGATTGTTTCAAATTGAAATTAATTAAAGGAACAATAAGGAAGATACATTTGCACAGAAAAATATCTAAAGCATATTTGGAGTATTTGTAGCGTGTATTTCTTAGAGCTCATGTTAAGCCACTATAACAAAGACCCCTAAGTACAGTAGACCAAACGAGACGTATTTTTTTCTCCTGTGTTAACAGTTCATATTGGTGGGCGGTGCTGGAACCCAGGTCATCCAAGGGCTTGGGTTCTTTACACTGTGTCACTTACTCCCCGTCTTCACGATGGAAGTGGACTCATTCGCGTTGTTCCTAGCTTATGGAAATGGAAAGAACCAAAATCCAGGGCCAGTGGTTGGCCTGATGTCAACATGACCCAGAAACTGTACTTTGCATTATTTCTTGCACATTCATGCCCGGCTGCAAGGAAGGCTGGCAACTGTAATCTCGACCTGAATGTACGTAGACCCTCTGAGCAGACTGCGTTGTGACTGCTCCCCATAATGAAAATGAGGCCTTTCCTCGAGAGAGCTGACTCAACACAGTAAAAGGAGGAAAGAGATTCCATTATTAATTTCACTTTTCAGGTATTGATAGTCATACATTTTTTGGTTTTTCTTCCCAGTTCTTTTTGCATATATGTGCTATTTTCCTAATATGCAGTGTTCTTATACCATTGCTGTCTCATTACCTTTTTCTTGTGCAGTTAACTGACTTTAGGCACACCTCATTTTAATGGCTGATTAACACATGGATGTGCTGTTGTTAAATGAGTACATATTATCCATAATGGAACATTTACCTCTTGCTAGATTTTTACTGTTATGAATAAGTTGTTATGTGAATTCATATTTTCTGTGTCTCCTAAGTTATATTCTTAGAAAAAGAATTATTGCTACATTGGTTTTCAGAAAGTTATGCTGATTTTTACTCCCACCAGCAGTATAAGAGATGGCCTATTTAGAATTATTGAAAAAAGTGTCTTTAACTTTTTAGGTATTTTTTTTATCTCAGAATTCATTGTTTTTACTTTCACTGGAGATGGAAAAAAAATGTCTTCCTCTGCACCATTTAAAAGCAGACATGACAGGGCCGGCCGAGTGGCTCCGTTGGTTAAGAGCTCGCTCAAGAGTGTGAGCTCTGAGCAACAGTGGTTCGAGTCCAGCCCGAGCTGAGCAGCTGCTGAGCTGCCAACAGGTGGCAGGATGGCTCAGCTAAAAAAAACAAAAAAACAGACATGACAAATGCCTTTCTGGCTAGAAAATATTTTTAGAATCACTTGATTTGATGGCTAAGTTTGTAATTTGTTGGTCTGTTTATTATCCACAAACAGTTCCTTGAATAGTTTCTATAGGTTATTTGCCCCTTTTCCTTTACTGGATTATTATTGTTTTACTTTGACGCTGCCATGTATGAGTTATTTATAATAACTGTACCCACCCTTACCCGTCGTGTTTGTCACATCTTTTTAATGTTAGTTTGCTGTGTTTTCACACACTTATTGGGAGTTTGTGGTTTTGCGTTGTGAAGTATATCAAACGTTCCCTTCATAGTTTCTTCTGCTGCTGTCATGCTCAAGGCTTTCCGTGTACTCAGATCTACGTTTTTAGGATATTAGTGTCTCCTGCGCTGTCTTACCTGTTCCGGTGACCTGCTGCGTGACGCCTTAGCATACCAACTCATTTTCATCCTTTGAGCCGTATGAGTAATATTACTATTTCCTGGAGTCTTCTCTCATTACTCTTCTGGTTCCGTGTTTTTCTACCTCTCACTAAATAATTTTAAAGATACACTTTATAGTGATTTTTAATTTTTCTCATTGGGAGTGATAAAATGTTAATTGGCATTATAGTATAGCCTTATGATTTATATTGTATTTTTATATAATTATTATAATGCAATTAAAAATTATAAATCTTTATTATATATATTATATATAAAAATAATATGTTATAATATATTACAAACTAAATTC